ATTATATTTTATGTAATTATTAACTAAAATGATAAGGCATAACTAAAGACAGTCTTGAATGATACCTTCTTTTTCTTTTGTTATATTTTGATTCATTTGATCATTTTCATATTCGACAAAATCATCAAAAATACTAGGCCATGCTTCAGCATCATCATAACTGCTTAAATCACTTCCTATAGTGTCTATTAAATTTAAGAACATGTTCCATGTGTCACAAGGAATACCTCTAATATTCGGATGACTTTCTAAAAACTTTAGCCATTTTTCTAATATTGGCGGCTCCTTAAGAGAAAATACTATTTTCCAAAGACATATTGCCATATCCGATGGTAAAATCCTTTGACCGGTCATTTTATCAAGTCCAAATCGAAATGTAAATCTATACAAATCCTTAAACAATTCAGGATCATTTAAAACTTCTTTGCAAAGCTCTGGGAGTTTATGTGATATACTTTTTATTGAATCAGTTCTCATATTTTTTAAACCTGTTATAAATTCATCTTTTGAAAACTGACACATTGTTTCAGCATTTAAACGCCAAGCTAAAACTAAAACTTTAAATTCATCAGGTGACAAATTAAGATCCGATAATAATTTCTCCATTCCTTCAGCTAAAATATAATCAGGCGAATCTAAATCTTTGTAATTATCATAAAGAGCTAACAATTTAGATTCTGCAACTTCTTTAACTTTAGTTTCATTATTATTTGAAGTTCTTCCTAAAGGTTGTATTCTGCTGTAAAAGCTTAAAAGAGATCTTTAAGAAAAAAAAAAAAAAGAATATAATCAATAATTATCCAAGAATAATAATAATCGATAAAGGAATTTTTAAAATGTAAATTTTAATTTAACTAACTTATCCCTGTGTAAACTTCCACAATTTTCATTGCCTAAAACAATCCTAGAGTTACCATTGCTTTGATGCTCCAAAGCTGATAATGAATTTTTATGAAAATCATGATCATTTCCCTGAAATAACTTTTGAACTTCTCCCATTTCTAAAATAAATGAGTGTGAGTATTTAAAAGTTGATGATACAAGTTGTGTAAAAAATATATTAATTCATACCTTCTTTATTTTTTTCAACAGACTCTGTTGCCTGAGGTTCACCAGAAGTGGGTAGTTTAAAACATGTCAAACAGTTTCCCATTGGACTGTTGATTAAGTTCTCTCGCTTCATGTATCTTGTAATTTTATTAATTTCACTGGAAAATTTTTTTAAAATTTTGATTAAATTTGTGACAATTTTAATAAAAATCAACATCTGGAGGTACTTGTTTCTTTATTTTAATATTTTTAAAATTATACATCATATATAAAATAATTACAACAATTTAAACTTACAATAATTACCAGTTTTTATAAAAATGTCATTTTTAAACCGTAATTTACTTATTAACAATTTCATTATAAACCATATTAAAAAAAATATATAAATGAATAAAAATTAAATTTAAAAAATTATTATAACTAAATAACTAATCGTACGATAAAAAAAAAATTTGAAATTTGTAATTTACATTTAAAATATAAAAATTCATTAAGAGCAAGGAGGAGCAATATTTTATCGATAGTTTTATAAATTAAAAAATTTTAAAATAAAATTATTTTGTATTATTTGTTAAATACATATTCGAACATCAAAAAAATAAAAAAAAATTAAAAACAAAGGAATGTTCACCATTTTCAAACACTCTGACAACATTTGGAAATAAAATAATAATGTTTTCAATTTTTATTTTTTATATTATTATTAATAATTTAATATTTTGTTACTTTTTGTGTTAATATTTCTATAAAGTTTTATTTCCAATCACAAAATCATTCTTTGTATACAATCAATTTAATTATTATGTATTTCATTTGAAACTGAAATTGTTTTTAAATATTTAAACAGTTTAATACTTGAAACGTATATTACGTTTACTAATCAATTATGTTTACATTTTAAATAATTCTAGAATTTTCAATTACAATTATTTTATTTAATTATGAACGTAATTGAACTGTATAGTGGAATAGGTGGAATGCATTTTGCTTTAAAAGGTTTATTTTTTTAAATTATTTGGTTCATTGTAAAATATTCTTATATTTTATATTTTTTGTTTTATTGCATATATATATATATTGTTTTTTTCAATTTGTTTTTTTTTTCTATATTTTTTGAATTTATTGTAATAAAAATAAATTTATTTTTTTTTCAGAGTCTGGCATTGATTACAAAGTTGTCAAAGCTGTCGATATCAATACTACTGCGAATGAAGTATACAAATTAAATTTTCCTAAAACATTATTACTGGGGAAAAACATACAAAGTTTACAATTAGAAGATTTCAATGGAATAGACATGATTTTAATGAGTCCTCCTTGTCAGCCTCATACAAGGTAAGTATTTTTTTTAAAATTATTTTAAATTAACTTATTTAAAGAATGATTTCCAAGAAATAAATTAAACCCCTTTATCGGTTCCTTGCGAATTAAAAATTTTTTTTAAAATTTTGAACTTTTTATTATTGCTTATTTAAATTATTTTATTTTAGAAATGGTTTAAAAAGGGATAATTTAGATGAAAGAAGTCATTCTTTACTATATTTGTTAACTTTATTACCAAAATTACATTCGGTTAATTATATATTGTTAGAAAATGTAAAAGGTTTTGAAATTTCGAGAATTAGAGACGAATTAGTGGACATATTGATTAGTAGCGGGTATACATATCAAGAATTTTTACTAACACCAACTCAATTTGGAATACCCAATTCAAGATTAAGGTATTATTTATTGGCAAAAAAAAAACCTTTGGAGTTTTGTTTTTCAACTAAAAGTGAAGTGATGGAAAAATTACCTGTTTTTTTTAAAAGTGATGGTGTTGAGAATGAAATCATTAATTTACAAACAAATTTAGAAACTGATTTTGTTCAATGTTATCCATTAAAGGAAATTTTAGATGAGAGTGAAAAAGATATGGTGCCTGATAAAATTTTAAATAAATATGGAACAATATTTGATGTTGTTACAAGTGAGAGTTATAAATCTTGTTGTTTTACTAAAGGTTATGGACATTTTGTTGAGGGAACCGGTTCCGTTTTGTCATCGAAAACCTCCAGCCATGTAGAAAAAATTTATGACGATTTGAAAAAAATGAATAAAAATTCTAGCGAAGCATTAAATTTATTAAAATCTTTAAATCTCAGGTATTTTACACCGAAAGAAATATCAAAACTCATGTGTTTTCCAGACAGTTTAATTTTTCCTAATTATTTTACTAAAAAACAAAAATACAGGTTGTTGGGTAACAGTGTAAATGTTCATGTTGTCTCGATTTTAATTAAACTTTTAGTCTCATAGTTTTAGTTATAGTTTTTTAGTTTTTCAAGGAAAAAAAAAAAAAAATAAAATAAAATAAAATAAAGGATGGATATTTAAAATTTTCCTTTTTTGATAATAATAAAAATTTTGTTTATTTTTTTCGAAATTCATTATTATTATTGCTTTGAAGTTATTTAAATAAAACAATTTTTTTTTTTTTTTTTTTAAATAATAAAAATTTACAAATGCTTAAAATGAAATTAAATTATCAATCTATTTCTTATTAATTAATATAATTACAATTACAAAGATTTAATTATTATTATTATTATTATTATTATTATTAATTTTTACAATTTTTTTTTTTTTTTGTACTTACAATTATAAAAGTATAAAAAATATTATTATTATATCACTTATATTTTTGTTATAAAATTACTTCCCTGATAAGTTTACATAACATTTTAAATGATTTTAACAATTTTTTTTTTTTTTTTTTTTTTAACTAATCTTCGAATAATCAACATAGTTTGTCCAATTATTTCATCGATAATACATTTGCAAAAAAAAAATTTAACAAATATTTAATCACAATGAATAGTTTTTAAATAGATTGACATTATTTTTATATTATTATTATTATTATTTTTAAAAAAAAAAAGCATTTGTATTGCTTTTTCATTATTATCATTATCAAAGGTTCTCCTACTTTTTTTTAAATTTTTTTATTTTAATAAAATAAAAAAAACAAGCCCACTTTTTAAAAAAAAAAAAAAAAAAAACCAATCCTATTATTTTATGAATACTTTACACCATTTTTAATTTTTTTTTTTTTTTTTTCAGTTAAAGTTTGTGAAAAACAAAAAAAATTTAAACATTTTTTAATTATTTTTTTCGGTGAATTTTATTATAAATAATAATTACTTTAGAGAAATGTTTGTTAAATTCCATTGAAACTCGTTTAGAGTTAAAAACTGTAAAAACAAACTTAAATTTAAAAAAAAAAAATGTTATTTAAATACTTCACATAAATTAATGAGTACATAAATATTTATATTTTTATTTATATATATATATATATATATATATATATATATATATATATATATATTGGCTATTTTGAAAATTTTTTTTAAATATTTAATTCAATAATAAATATTGTTCTTGTCATTTCGTCCACTGTTTGGTGTTTGTTTGGTGTAAAGGAAAATTTTGTTCTATACTATGATTAAACATGTGTTGTTCGACATCAGGGATACTTAATATTTGATGACAATTTATGCAAGCATCAAATATTTTAGTTTTGGGAAAATTCGGACTAAGTGAAAAAACAATGTACAATTCCTGTTGTTTGTTTATATCGGGAAGGAGAACTAATAATTCCGGAAAAATTTCTTGCAAATTTTTATCACCCAATATTTTCACGCAATGCTCGTAATATTCTTTCGCCGATAATAAACTTTGTCTGAACAATATTGATTTTTTACGAAAATTATCTAATATTTCTTCGTTCGATATTATCTTATTGACTTTCGAAATCAATTTCGAATTTCTCTTTTCGAAATCAATCGGTGGAGTATATTCGAATTCCGTTGGTATGGCAAAACTTTGACCGCAACTATTAGTAAATGTTAAACCGTTTGACGTGGAAAATTCTGCGGTAAATCCTGGAGGAGGTTTTTTGATTATATCGTTGTTGTTGTTGTTGTTGTTAAAACATCCGTTAAAATTATCAAAACCCGGTGGAGCGTTCGATTTTAAATTTTCAACGGTCACATTTAAATTAACGTTGCTTTTTGATGGACCGACATAATCAAAATTATTTAAAACGGAAAAATTTAGGTTTGAAGGTGATGAAGACGCAACGATATCATCATCACTAGGTAGTAAATCAATTTCCTTTGATTTTTTTTTTTCAACATTTTTTTTCCTCGTATCACAATTTTTAAATTCTCCAAACCAATCTTCAACTTTTGGTAACGGTTTCCCAAGTGCAGGCTCATCGGAACTTGTTACAAGTGGTAAGGCACTATTATTATTATTTTGTAAATTTTTTTTTTTTTCATTTACATCCGTTTTTATTTCAATTTCTTTAGAACTTTTTTTTTTAGCCGTGTCTGACTTTTCTTCAACATTATTCGTTTTAGATTTTTTTTTTTTAGATTTCGTTTTTAGCGAATTAAACATAATTGGTATTTCCGATGTTTCAGACCTCACGTTATCCACGGATATGGTCAGAGTACTTGATTTTTTTTCTTTCGGTTCTTGAACTTTGTTGTTGTTGTTGTTTCGATAAGTTTTTATATTTACAAAATCAGGTTTAGATGCATCTAGATCTCTTAAATTAAGATTAGTACTGAATTTAGAATTAAGACTAGGAAAATCTTCGGTGCTATTTAATTTATGAGTTTTAGGAGGTCCTTTTGATGAAGGATTAGATTTTGGCGTCGGTTCTAATTTTTTATTGCTAATTGTTGCCCATTTGGCAGAAGTTCCGCTTGATTGTTGAGATTTATCCGTGCTAGAAGAAGGAATATCATCCTACAAAAATAAATATTTTTTTTTTTTTATTAATTCGATACAAATGACGAAACTCATACGTAAAATTAAAATCTACGAGTTATTTCATTACGTGTCTAATTTTAATTTTTTGTTCTCCGCTTGATTTGTGATTTACGTGAATTGAAACGTTTCTAGTAGTACCACTTCCGCTTTTGCTCGTACTTCCCCTTTCCTGATTAATGTTTAACTTTACCTTTGAGAGAGAGAGAAAAAAAAAAAAAAAAATTTAATATGATTCTTAAGTAGATTTGATGTATAGCTATGTACAAGCTTACTGATGTTCCTGGACCGCTACTTTCACATCCTACTCCTAATACGGGAAAATTTTCATCTGTAAGCGCTAAAGGAGCATTTCTTCTACCGAAAGCATGAATTGTAAGATTACTATTTCTACCACGAGTTTGCGGTATAGAAGTAACTACGGAACTTGTGCCAGATGGAAGAGATGGGAATTGGCTTGAATCGAAATTTGGCAACGCAGTACGCGATTGACTTCCAATAACACCTCCGACAGCTACTTCTAAAGGACTAAAATTATTGTTTACAAATTAAATTTGTAATTTTTTAAGTAAAGGGTTAACTTATTAAATCATTGTAAATACTCAAATTAACAAAAGTTTATTATAAATAATTGTCTAGGTGATGTTATTTTTTTTGATTTAAAAAAAAAAAAAAAATCTCTTTATTTGATAATTACCCATTATCGCTAATGCCACTTCTATCTCTTTTGGACGATTCTTGATGTCTATTTCTAGGTTTCAGAGTAAATTCCAATTCTAAAGTTCTTGCCTGTTTAGCGGCAGCTTTTCCTAAAATTCGCCCATGAGCAGATGCTCTATGAGCTTTTAAATCAATATCAGTACGAAATACCGGTGTGAATTTTTCATCAATGCAAGAACCTTCTTCGCATAAATAATGTTCAGTACGAAAATGATCCAGCAAGTAGTCATACGAACTAAACGAGAAAAAAAAAATTCATTTACAAAAACTAGAAATTTTAATATTTAGTTTGAAATTAAGTCATTCATAACACAAAAATTAAATTTGATATATCTTATGTAAGAGTGAATAATATTTTAATTGTAATTTACTTTAAACCCAAAGAGAATTTGAAAGCCAAAATAATACCTGTAGTATAAATCGAAACCATCGGCATCACAAAAATGACAATATAAATGATCTCTTCTTAAGTGCCTATATAAGCAATCATTATCCATGTAACGAACATCGCAAAATTGACATAATGGATGACCACGATGACTTCTATCATCTGCATCTCCTTTTTTTTTATGCAAATCTAAATTTTTAGAAGTGTAACATTGTCTTTCAGATGTAAATATCTAAGTTTAAAAGAAAAAAAAGTTTTAATTACTCAAACTCACCATTATTTACTGTTTGTCATTTAGTTAATACTTCTAATTTAAGTAATTACCAATTAGTTTAAGTTTTAAATAAAGTATTTGTAACTTCATATCTTTTAATAACATTAATTAATATTTAAAATTTAAAAATAAGGTTTAAAATCATAATTACAATAATTTTAAGTTAATTTAAAATAAATTTACTTACTTTTAGATGTTCCACACATAAATCACAATAATAAAGATCATGTTGCTTTCTCATGTGATCATATAAATTTTTAAATGTCTTAAAAGATGGATTGTTAGGACAAACACTACAACTGTGTTCCAAAAGAGAATAAAATGCATCTTGGACTTTTTTATTTTGAAAACAAATTTTAAATTTTTTATCTTCTAATGTTGAGCAATTTTGAATTTCATTAAATGGTTTTACATTGCTTGTAAATACAACCTATAAATCACATAAGAATATCATAATTATTTTTGTCTTAGATGATCATGTTTAAAATAATACAATTCGTTAAATTTAAAAAAGTAAAAGATCACTCTGTGCTCAGAGATTTTATAGTTTCATAAATTTTAATAAAATTTATGAATCTATGAGGTTAAAGTAAGTCGTTCGTTATATCCTTATTGTTTCTCTAATATTACTTACATAAATTAGAACTTTGAAAAAGAAATTGTTTTAACCTACCCTTGGTAAATCTTGCCTGCAAATAGGACATTCATTTTGACAACATAATACTCTCATTCGAGTAGAACATTCGTAGCAAACCATATGGTCACAGCAACCTATTGAAAAAATTTCCACATTTTTAAAGCACACTACACAAATATTTTCTAAACCTTCAGGAGCATTTGTAATCATATTTAACTTTGAAGTTACTAATTCGAAAAGACGACAAATAAAACGAACGTGAAGTATCAATATTTAATAGACAATCTAAAAACACAAATAAAAATATTTATTCGTACTAAAAATTTTAAACCAAAAAATATTTTTTTTTAAACACTAACTACTTCGAAAATTTACACTTTATTTAATTAATGACGAAAAACTACCGTGAGTTAAAAAACTGTCAAATAAAAAAAAAAACGATAAATTTCGTTAAAATATTATCTGTATGATTGTATTATATGATGGTAAAATTCAAATTGAATTTTCGTTTCTAAAATAGTACCCTGATAGTTAAAATAACGGAAGTAGTCATGCCAAAAATAGAAACGTAGAAAAAATTTTTTATTTAATAATTTTAAATTAATAATACTATTAAAAGTTATAATAAACATTATAAAAATAATTATAATAAAAGTTATAATATTTGCATACTGAAAATTTTTATTTTATTTTATTAGTATTTAGTTTCCATTTAGTAGTAATACAAAGATGGATGCTGGTGGGGCGTATGGAGGAGGCAAAGCTGGTGCTCCGTTTGATCCCATCGGTTTTGTCCAAAGACCACAAGTAATTTTAAAAGCTACTTGCTTAGTAAGTTACCCTTAATTTAATGTTTTTATTTTTTGCTTTTACACTAAATGTATTCTTTCTATATCGGCAATAAAAGTATAATTTTTTCCGCCATTTTGAAAGGTTTGATTTAATAGATATTGATTTTTTTTTAATTTTTAAAATTATAATTTAATATTTAAAATGATAGAAATTAAATA